TCAAAACCTAAAATGAGAAATCGAGAAGCTATCCAGTATGTTTGCTTTTCCACCCAAAGAAGGATGTGTTGGAAGAGTTTCACGCTGATATTCTGTGGAAATTCAAAAAGCCAAACTGGATAAGCAAAATTATACTGGTTTTTGCATTTAGGTTTCACTATGCTTACTGATTATCAAACGAAATATGACGGCATTGTAGAGACGATTTAATCAACACAAACATGGTCTTGTGTCAAGTGATTGGACAAAACATGATGATGTCATCAGCCTCTTATATAGAAACTAAGGGCCTCCAAGTGCATTTGATGATTAATAGAGTAATATTCCCAGAGAGCAGCATACCTCATCATTTGAAATGTTTGCATTGTCTCCAAACTCCTTTCTAAAGGCCATCTCTAACTACAAATCAACATTTAAAAAGCATAAATAAATTATCCAAACAACATTTAAAATGGACGGTTTTGGTAAACAGAAACATTAGATAACAATAGACGCAAGATACATGTGCTTCATAGGACAATCACTTCAGAAACACATTACCTTTTGAGGCCTGAGGAACTCAATGAATTTGAAAACAAAGAAAAACTAATAAACATCTTGATTCGAAGATAATGTGGCATACCTGCATATAAACAACACGCCAATCTTGTAAAATCTTTCCAAGCTTACGCCGTTGCCATGCACCATTTGTGCATAAAACTTTTAGCAAACTGATTACTAACTGCAGTACCCAAGATAACGCACGTATTAGAATCAGCACACAGTGCAAGGATCTATAAACATAAAACTAAAACCAGCCTTCCCCTTCTGTTGCATGCACGATTACAACAAGAAAAAAAGTTTTATTAACCATTTTCTCTTCTTGTGCATGCATAATCAAGTGCTTTTATTGATAAAACATCATATTAGAAAATTAATGAATAGTTCCATAATATAAGAAGATACAGATTTGAAAACTATCATATCCCCAAAAATACAAAAATGGAAAGACAAAATGTAATCAGTCCAGAGAACGATATCACTTCACCTGTCCCAGTTGAATAATAGATTCCTGTTTCTGAATATCATGGTTCCTTGTATTATCTGGCAATGCTGCAGCTTGGATAATAACAACAAAGACAGGATCCCGACCATAGAGTTTCCCGTCTTGAACCAGCAGACGCTGTTCAAAAGTTTCAGGTCAATAATTCACAAATATGCTGACAATATTCAGCAACTAGTACCTAGAATAAAGTAGAAACAAATGGCACATACCTGAAGATGAGCCCTTGCTACTAAATCAGGCTGCGATTTTTGAAACCCAACCAAAAAGTGCAAAACACTTTCTAATGACGGGTCTAATTGGTAGGAACATATAACATCGAGATCACGAAGAAGTTTAATAAAATATTCAACAGTCTGGCACAACAAAACCAAAGCAAAAATGTTACAATAGTGGAAGTAAACTACTACAATTATCGGCAGCAATTATCTCATGCTCACCTTTTTCCAACTCAGAATTTTTATTGCACGTGGTGGTGTAGGTGCAGATAATCTACAGTTTAAACTAGCATCAAAGCCAATTGGTTCACAGCCAGAAGCCGTAGTTTTATCTTCTAAGTTGCCTTGTTGACTTCCAAAAGTACTAGATCTAAGGAACTCTGAAGAGCTAAGAATGTCTTCTAATTCAGATATGCAGGAGGCTATATGTTTTCTTGCCAACTCCAATCCTCTTCCTTGAGGCCGCTTCATAGATGTAAGGACATGGTAAAAATGCTGAAAGAAGAAGAGAGCTCTTTTTATACAACATGGGGGCATAAATATTCAAATGAATAGACGTGTTCCCAGATGAAGCAGATGAATACAAGATAAATGAACACAGGGTAAGACCTTACGAAAGCGTAAGCGGCATAACAAAGCTTTGCAGTAGCCTTCCTCCAATTCAGGATTATTTTGTTGTGACACCAAGTCTGCAACAAAAAGCAAGTATATGATGATGGTGGTGCTTTGTTCCAAGCTATAATTCAAGATAAAGTAATATTACTGCGAAAGTGAATGTATATCTGCCTTCTAACACTCGGGTTTTCGATGATGGTGCTTTACAGGCACGTAATTGGCGGGAAATTGTTTCTTCAACAGCATGTAGCATTGACAAGCACTTTTCATCTCCATCCCCATTCAAAGGAAGACCATATGTCATTGTAAAAAGGTCTTCTTCCTGCAATGAGACAAGTTTGATAACTAATACAAATAAAAGTATTTCTCCAGTGCAAGCCACTATTCAGAGACTAGGCTTGAAAAACAAAATGCACTGTAATGTCCCCAGAATATGAAACTAGAATTCACTCTGAGGATAACAATCATTTACAACGCACTAATGGAAGCAGTTAGGTGTTGATCAAAAAGACTAAAGCAGCATATGCACAAGATAAATTACTACAACTTAATGGAAATACTGAAACAGCATAGGCCAAAAGAGCTGTTGAAATACTTTACTTCATGAGTGCGTGCATCTGAGACAACTGAAATGACAGCCTTGCAGGTTGCTCGTATGACTCTGCAATAAGAATGCAGTAAGGCATGTGAGGATGTCCTATCAAGCCTGAGAAGATAGATGCACGAGAAGACAGTTTGTGCCAATGAATGACCCTTGTGCCATGTTGCCTGCCATTTGAAGATTTACATATAGAAACATAAGGAAAGGAAAGACTGTAATACAGAGAAACAAATGATAGCACAGATTACTTCCAGCGGGAAGTTTAGTGTTTTAAAACATATATCATGAATAGATTTCAAAAAATAACAAGGAAAAAGAAAAATTAAGATCCTAAGTAGCACTGATGTCTATGTAAATTTCATAGCAATCCTAATCTTTTACAATAAACAGCACTCATGAAAAGCAAGAAATTTGGTTTACGAAATTAGGAAGTTATGTAGCAGTGAAGGAGCATATAATAGCATTACTGCAAGTTAACAATATATAAAAATTGCTTTTCAAGCCTAAAGAGCAGTTAAAGAAAGTTATGTGGCAGATACCTCACAGGCTAGAAGATGATCCATGATATCAATAGTACGTTGAACGTCAACAGTTTTATCAAAGCTAATAGGAACAGGAGCAGCACCATCATCAATTGCTTCATCAACAGAGTAATATTTACAGACCATACCAGAATCCATCTTCGGGTCCATTATCTAATAAGGAACACAAACAGAAAGTGTTAAATTAGACTAAGCAAACACTTGAAAATCAACATCAGCATTAAGAGAATGCAAAACCATTACAGCATAGGTTATAGAAGGATTGTGCAACTCTTTAATTCTTAATGCCCTTGATGGCGATCCACCACGTGATACAAAGCAAAAAACACATTTTCCAATTAAATTTGTCTCCCAGCAACTTATTCAAAGATCATAACCGAATTCTGCGTTAATTATTCAGTCTACAATACAACAATGCTGCATGTACAAATAAAAAATAAGAAAAACACTGCCGATAATGTGTTACCTCCAAAGCAGACATGGCAGCAAAAAGATTGAAATTATCTCCGTTAATGAGCATACCATCTTGAAGATCTGTGACCAAAATCCATCAAAAAAGCAAAACAAATGAAGCATAACAAGCCAAGAAACTGGTAGAACGTCAATCAAGTTCAAAATCCCAACCACATTAACATTATAAAACGTTTCCACAACACAAGCTTTGCCATCCAAGCACCCTCGCAACACTTAACCGTGCGAAAACACCAACACAATTCAACATTATCCTTCATACGAAGTCAATGTTTTCAAGAAAAACCACAAAAGCTTAGGATCGTATTGAACTAATGGAAACTATACCGCTGCTCTCGATTAACCACGCACACTCGCAACACAGATACACACACACACACACACACACATATGCATATATACATATACACACATACATAGTTTTGCATATAACCAGTTACATTAAATTGCAAATATTGATTAAACTACTCTGATCACTACAAGTCTTATCCTTTATGTAAATTCTTTTACTTCTAATTCGAAAGTCCAACACTTTATATTATATGAAAACACAATAAGCTTTTTCAGATTTTCATCCCTTTACTTTTCTATTATCCTTCATTTTCTCGGGAACCAAACAGAGCAGCTGAGAAGCTGAGATTTAAGTTTAGAGTAAGCAAACAAGGGGAAAAGCACAGACCTTTACAGGCGGCGTCGAGGAGGGGCGAGACGTCGGCCCAGACGGTTTGATCGCCGGAAGGAATGGGGGTGCCGCGGTCGGGTAAGGAGAGGTTCACGGTAGCGTCCTCTGCACTAGTCGTCCCCGCCATCGTTGCCGATGCTTCTTTTTTTTCCACCGCTGCGTTGGAATATCAGTCCTTTTGGTTTAACTTGTTGGTTGCTGCTGCCCACTTTGCCTGCCCTTGAGAAAGTGAAACGAGGAAGGAAGACGGTGAGCGTGGACTGGTTGGGTGGGTCGGGGACTTTAGGGGTTCAAATGGGTCGGGTATGATTTGGTAATCATCATCCTGTTCCCTAGCAATAGTTTAGTCTAAGCTTAATTTAATTTAAATCACGAAAGGGCTGCGAACTTTTTGGTAAAACGACATATTTACACTAAGAAAGTGGATAAATAAATTGATTGTAAAATTGTCACTCATAAAATTCGAAATTAAAACTTCTAACTTATGACTGATTAGGGACATCACTAAACCGTAGTGGTGACGAGAGAAATGCGAACTTAGATACAAAGGAGTTTAGGTCAGCAAACCCTCGTAAGTTTTACATTAGCATAATTATAAAAATGGGTTTGTGTTAGTGTCATAGCAGTTTTGTGGTGGCGTTGCTTTTGATCCTGTTATAGTAGTATGTAATATGTATTGAAGAGACTATCTACTACGAAATCATCTAAATCAACATGTTATCATGCGTTTTCTTTCGCAAAAGAATTCAAATATTATAATATTGACATTTATGTTACACGAAAGTCGATATATATATATATATATATATATATGACTCGTTGTGAAGTTTTATAACACAATACAAACAAAAAAGTCAAACAAAAATTTCAAATATATGCATATCAAGAAAGCAGTGAAACATCGAGTCTTCTTAGCCACACAGAGTGGAGCACCATGTTAAGCATATCGTAAGGCTGAGCAGGACGATGGACCGTAAAATGCCGGTGCACCTCCGTCACACTCTTTTGCAGTTCCAAATACCTCGAGTGCGAAATCTCTTTCAAGATCGTCTTGATTTCGGGTATTTTTTTCGACGGAATGTACACCGAGAATTTGCTCCAGTCAAGAACGTCGCTAAAGGGCAATGAATAGTTGTCAGAAATGAGGACGGGGACGCACCCCATAGAAATTGCTGTGACTACTCTTGGACTTGCCACTTCGTACCCACTAGGGCACAAGCAAAACTTGGCTTTACCCATCAACTTGAAGTAGTCTTCCTTATTTTCTAGGTACTCATGCACTTGCACCTCATTGTCTTTGTCCTTCCAATGCTCCAGCAAGATCTTTCTTATGAGACCGTGAGATCCTCCGGCGAAGAAGGCAAGGATTGAACCCTTGTCGAGGCTTGTATTTTGCGGGGTCGGACCAAGTTCTCCATATGGTATGTTGATTTCTGGAATGGAGGCGTCTCTTTGGGACTTAAACCCTTCTGATGTATTGGCATTGCATAAAACCCTAATGAAGTTCTGGTAGAACTTGGGATTAGCTTGTGAAATGTCTGGTGCCTGAAATTTAAGACTAACAACATAATTAGTTTTTTTTCGTATAGACGATGACGTATGGTGACCAAATAAACTATTTATAACATATTTACTTATGGTCATACTCATCATATATATCTTTTGTATAAGTTACAAATTGTTTTTTTTTTTTTTACACTAATGAAGGATCGAGAAGAGTAAAGGAGGCATACCCAATCATGACAAGAAACCAAGAAATGATCAGCACCGTGGCTTCTATTCCAATAAGGGTATTTTTCAGCTACAACGCCAATATAGTCCATAACAACCCTTTGAAGTTGATCACGGTTATATGTGACAAGAGGCCTGTACAGAAAATTGACGATGTTGGATACACTGATTGGGATGAGGAATAGGTGTGCCTCGTCGGGATGGCGAGCCATGAACCGGCTCTTCCTGCTCTCCATCTCGTCGATAAACAGCCCCTCAACACTATAAATGTTGTTGAAGGGCCCGGTGTGAACCAAGGGATGCTCTCCTTCCCTGTAAACCCACACCTTCAATCTTTTCTCCATCTCTGCGTAACTCCTAATCCATCGTACATATCATCATAGTGCTTGGTTAGAATTTAGAGCATGCCTCATACTCATCCCTACCATAACAAAGTTTTATAATTTTTGCGTAAATAATGAACTTGTGCTAAGTACTTATTAACCGAAATTTAAGCACGTCAGATGTAAGAAATACATACCACACCAAGAACAGATAAACAAAACTATGAAACAAACTTTCAATAGAACTGATAATCTGCATATAAATCATCATTTAGTGTATCTGTATTAATGTCTTACTGTTATTCAGGTTCTATTTTCAATTCAAAGTCTGTTGACAAGTTTCATGTGCGTAAATTTCTTAATAGGTAAATCGATTAGTTAACTAAGTAATGCAATTATTAAGGTGAAATCATTTTATAGTGTAAAATCAATCTACCTGCATGGTATGAAATCAAGGCAAATGAATCGACAGCAATGCGTAAAATAGGCTTAGTAATTTGAATCAGATTAATGAACATCGAGTAGAAAGTTTTACTGCACCAACTGAATGCTGAATCAGTGGTGACGAGGACACACATAAATGGTATATCCGAATGGTTGAATATGGGAAAAATTGGCACAAATCAGTCATTTTATTTCGAATTAATGGAAACATTACTATAGTTGGAATTATTTTTCGTGATTCCAGTCAATGGTCCACAGTTTCTAACGAGGAGCATGTGATTCGGTTTTTTCATGTGAAGTGTTAGAATTTTCATTTGATATGTTAGCACTTTATTATGTAAATCAAATTAGCATTAAAACATCCAGATTATGTTCCCATAAACATTAATTTTTCCTATGACTTTATACAGTCAAACCCCAATAAAGACAATTAAATAAAAATATAACTGATAGAAAATCAACCATAGAGAGATAATTGTGTTTTGAACTTAACTGATGAAAACAATGTGCATTTCTGTAAATTGATCCTTTTGGGATGAACACTTCTTCGTCTTCTTTGTAATTAGACGCTTGATTCTTTTCATGTACTGCTCTCCAGATCGCCTCTCTTGCTCTGGCCAAACCTGCTTCAATTCTCTCCAAATTACTCATTTTCTATTCAAAAAACAAGATAAAATTGGAATCAGTGATAAAAACAAATTAATAAATATGCGTATATATTCATGAGGGATATTTTTCGCACTCCTCTTTTATTCGGCTGCACTATTCTGCTTGTTTTCAGTCCTTGATCATTGATTTATTTAGTCTTGTGGCTAGAAATAAGAGACGAGAGCGAGAAAATCATTTCACATGTTCATATGTTTAAAAATATTTAACTAAAGTAAAATAAAAAAGAAATACTATTGCACGGCGCACTTTTTTGCGTTCCTCCTTCACTATCCAAGTATTGATACTCCTTGATTCATCGGTTGGCAACAAATATGATGGCAACAATGGTGGCGGAGACGGAGGTGGTGAAATGGGTGAGGATGGCAAAGAAGGAGGTGATGAAATGGGTGGAGGGGTGTCATGGATAATTTTGATGCCGGAAATGGGAGTAGGAGACGAGAAAATAATATTGGTAAGGTTGGTTTGGTTTAATGGAGATAAGAAAAAGATAAATAAAAGGATAATTGAAAGACTTGGTAGCAGTGCAGTAACGATGTGAGTAGAAGAGCCAAGTTCTGCCATGGATGTGCTTTCTTTCTCACTTCTTTGACAAAATAAGGGAGGGAGAGGAGGAGGAGGAGAAAGGACACACTATCGGGTATGGGGAGTGAATTGATTCGGCATGGTAATGAATTAATTACAATAATGCTACAATCAGTCGTACACGCACAAGTAAAGTGATTTTGGTCGTCGATTCATATAAGGTAGCACCTGCTCAATTAACTATGACTGATTCATCTTGAAATACTTAAAGGAAAGGCCTCGAAGGGCTACGGTTATGATTTGCAGAATTTGGTACGTGGAGCTTGTGATATCTGATATGATCAATTATAAATAGAAAGTGTTTGATTCAGGCCCTATAGGACAATTAATGACATCAAATCAAAATATGGATTTGTTTCTGTGTAATATATTTCCTATATTGGCAAAAAATATTGAATTTGTTGTAAAAATAATTTGAGAGTTGGAGAGAGAGGTCGGCGATAGAGAGAGGGTTCATCGGTTTTTAGATTGTGATTTTTCTTCGCTTTGTGTCTGTATTTATACTAATCCTAGAGTAATATAAGTCATGCAGTAATAAGATGATAAGATCTCTGAGATTTTATTGAATTCTAAATTAAGTTTACACAATCATGTACCAATTTATGTATGTAATCTCCCTTTCTCGACATGAATAAGAAACCCAAACCCATTAGGAATACAAAATCTTGGCAAATCATGGTAGAAAAGGAGAATTGTAAATATTTAAAATTGAATTTTTGCTGAAGAGTATTTTCTCTTTCGTACAAGGAAAGAACTCAAATCCATATAGCCACTAGCCAACTCATTTGCCTCACAATGAATTTGTACACAAATTTGTGTCTTGTACATGTCTTTATATGAAAGAAGAGACAATGACAATATCCAAAACAAGGTGACGTTTTTTATTAATTATGAAATTCCAGGTCACCAATTGGCCCAATTTTCATTGTTGGCCTCAGTTTTACATCAAACGAGCAAAGGGGAAAAAATTATATTGATACATACAATTAAGCCTCGAGCTTAAAGTCAAGTCGTCTTAGCCACACCGAGTGAAGGATCATGTGAATCACATCAAACGGTTTAGCCGGCCTATTTATCACAAAATGTGGACGAACCCTACACACCCTTTTCTGCATTTTCAGATATTTGTCGAATGGAATTGCTTGTAAGATGGTCTTAATTTCCGGTATCTTAGCAACTGGAATTTGCACTGAAAATTTGCTCCAATCAAGCACATCACTGAAGGGCAATGTGTAACTGTCAGAAATTAAGACAGGCACACATCCTGCATATATTGCCTCCACAATTCTTGGGCTTGCAACTTCAAATCCACTAGGGCACAAGCAAAACTTGCTCTGCACCATAAATTTGGTGTAGTTTAGGCCCTTGGGAAGCTTCTCATAGACTTGAACTTCATCATCTTTGTCCTTCCAATGATCCAGCAAAATGGGCCGGACAGGTCCGTGGACCCGTCCGGCAAAGAATGCTAGAATTGGGCGGCTCTTTGAGGCCTGACACAAATTGGAGGAGCCCAAATTTCCTTTGTATAAGTAGATTTCAGGTAGTGAGACATCTCTTTTAGGTTTAAATCCTTCTGAGGTGTTGGCATTGCAAAGAACCCTAATAAAGTTCTTGAAAAGCTCTTGATTTCCAACTGAAACCTCCGGTGCCTGAATTACGAATGAAATACTAGTTGTTTCAAAATAAGAAATTTTGCATATTTATGACTATTTCAGAGTGTTAACACAGTTCATATGAAAAACGGAAAAGAAGTTTGATGGCACAGTTGAAGCAACATATATACGTACCCAATCATGACATGAAGCCATAAAATGGTCAGCACCATTGCTTCTGTTCCAGTAGGGATATTTACCAGCCACGACGCCAATGTAGTCGGTGACAACCCGTTGCAGGCGGTCGCGATGGTAGTCTTGTCTCCGAGTGATAGGCATGTAGACAAAGCGAACAACGTTGGCAACACTCAGGGGAAGGAAAAATGTGTGTGCCTTATCGGGATGTGTAGCTCTGAATGGGCTTTCCTCCCTCTCTATTTCATCAATGAATTGTCCCTCAATTCCATATATGTCATTCAGTGGACCAAAATGTATTAATGGATGCTCTCCTTCCTTGTAGCTCCACACTTTGAACCTCTTCACCATCTCTATGTGACTCCTGCACAATGCATATCTTAATTAGCAAACATTTTACAATGCACGGATGACAATGTATGGGAAGTACTAGTGCACTGGACGACTGGATTTGCATGGCTGAAGTTTGAAGATCAGAATCTAGCCTTTCAAACTTTAAGAAAACCCTCTTGGTCAAAGCAAATGATTATTTAGATAAGAGAAACGAGTATAATATGTGTGGTACATAGAATCTTAAAATTACTCAACTGGTGAAAAGCGTAGGGATTTTTGTAAATGGTTCCTCTTGGGATAAAAGTCTCAATTTTCTGTGATGTATACTTTTTATACTGAATTGCTTCAAGAATTGCTGCTCGTGCTTTGGCCAAGTCTTCTTCAATTCTATCCAAACTAGTCTTACCCTGGTCACCAAGAAATACACTAAAATCAAGTATTAGACAAATTAATTAATATATCAAAATAATTACCATCGCTAAATTCTAATACAAGAAAATGATGTTTCATAATTACTTTGTTTTTAATTTTCAAATTTTATGTTCATTTTTTTTTTTTTGAAAACTTGTATGGTAATTATTTTTAATGTTCAAAATACTGAAAACTGAAAGCTACTTTTGTGATGAATTTTCAAATTTTGGCTTGATATTTTTTGAAAACTGAAAAATGAAAACAGTTACTAAACAAGTTTTGAAACTGGAACGGTTATTAACCTGAAAAATGAAAATTGAAATGCTTACTTTGGTAAGATTAGCCTTGTGTCTCCTTTGATACATGGAGCTTGTGAGAAGCTCATCAAAATATGAAACTTGAGGTAGAGCTGTGTGGTTGCTCTTTGTTAGATTGAAAGGTGTAGTAGTAGGCTCATCAAAATATGAAACTTGAGGTAGGGCTGTGTAGTTGCTCTTTGTTAGATTGAAAGGTGAAGCAGTAGAAGTAGTATTGTACGAGGAAACAAAGGGAATAATGACATACTTTTGACCAAGCAGGGAGGAGAAGGTTAGAACGAAGAAAATGAGAAAAAAGAAGATAATTAGGGAAAGAAGTGTGGGGCAGCGGAAAGCTGAAGTCATGGCCATGGCTGGCAGGCTAGCTAGCTAGCTTGACTGTTTCTTCACTGTTGTGTCCATTTATAAGAATCAGTGAGAGGGATGAGTGGAAGAATCGGCGGGGAAGACGATGATCTGAACTGGGTTTATTCAAGAATCTGCAGAGAGAGCTGCATTTTTTTTACTTGTATATAAAAAGGGTAGCTCTTAGCGGTTTAGCCGGGTGAAAATCATCACACACTGATATAAATGCAAAATAATTCAACATGGAAGATTGCTACAGATATCGATAAATTAAAATTCTAGAAAATTTAATGATGAGTATCTTGCAATTTATGTATTAGAGAAGTCATTAATTAGTCTTTTTCCATGTATGTGTACAGCATGGGGAGGAAGAGAATCGTGACTATGTCTGTGATGAATATGAAAATAAAAAAAAAATTGAGAAGGGCGTCTGGCCACGCCTTAAAAGAGTACCCCTCACAAAGCATGAGATCTTCTGTGTTTTTACCTAATCTCACGCAAACTTACTTTAGTGTGAGAACTGTTCTAATCAAGTGACCCTAATGAACATTTTCTCAAGTGAATTTATTTATTAAGGCTCGATCAAGGCTCCTAACATATTTTGGGTAATGTTAGGGTGGTCAAATTTCTAAAATAAATTTTGTAAACTAAATAATATGATTGTTAATAATTAGATTATCACTTAAATGTTAATTAACATGCTTATTTCTTATTGATGACACATAATTTAGTTCGTAAATTTGATTTAACAATTTGATCTCTCTATGAATTTTACAAAAAGTAAGAGGTCGTTGTTTAAGGCTAGCTAGTTCCCTAGGGAATGGACAAAACCCTATTTCCAAAGGTATACATTGAGTTAGTCAAACTAATGTATTTATCAGCTTAATGTGTATCTTGATGTTGCTGCTTTTTTATTAAAATGTGCATCTTGATGTTGCTGCTTTTTGATTAAACTGCAAGTAAGTGCTGTTAAAAGTCCAACCCAATTATGGTATGAGAGAGAGTGCACGAGAGAGAGCTCCATTCAGCCCTCTATCTCAATATATTATATATGGGTAATGTTAGAAATATACAAATTATAAATTAAATAATGTGTCATCAATAGAAATGAGCACGTTCATCAACGCTCAAGTAATAACCAATCATAAACTTCCATGTCATTTAGTTTACAAAATTTTGTCTACAAATTTAATATCTCTAACATTACTCATTATATATAATATTTCATGATAGCAACTTTCTTAATCCTCTTCTCATTTTACTTTTTCGATTTTCCTTTTACCTTACAATATTGGTTAATGATCGGAAAGTGTATAATTTCTAGGTCACCTTAAAAAATTGGGAGTTTTAACGAAAAGTCCGCGGTACTGTTCACTTTAACGAAAAACCACATTTTTACACTAAAAAGTCAAACCTGGTACTATTCATTTTACCCTTTATTTTGTCCTTATCATTAAAACTCAAAGTTTTCAAGCCATTTTCATTAGTTTTTCTTAAAAAATTAGCTCTACAAAATCAATTAAATTAGGAATTGTTTAACTGTTCAATCAACATTGTCAAAATTGAAGTGTTTAAGTGAGAAACATGATTCCGTCATATGTAAAAGTGTTAGATAACTAAACAATTTCGGATTTAGTTATTTCTTTGCAAAAATAATCTTTAGTTGGTGATAGAGAAAATTATTAAGATCGTTATTTAACATTGCATAATGAGAAAGAGAATAGAAAAGGTAAAGTGAGAAAATTTCACAATAAGAAGATTGCTTGTATTCATCTCTAACTAAAATACCTACCATGGGAGTTGTAGTATGCATGGTGCTGGATTTGTACATGACCTACAGGTGATGAGTGGACTAATTAATTAAGTCGATTAACAAAGATTAATTACTCAGTTAATTATGTGAGGAGTGGACTAATTAATTAAGTCGATTAACAAAGATCAATTACTCAGTTTATCATGTGATTAAAGGTCAAATAGTGTCTAGCTAGTAGACTACCTTGCCTAATTAAGCAAGTTGTGGGATTCTTTACTTGCATATGTAGCTAGGTCTCACGTGAGTTCTACATATCCCTGCATGAGAAAATGAGGTTGGTTTTATTATAAAACCAAAGTTGTGTCCCATTAATTATTGCTGACAAAATTTTATATCCAAGAAAGACTATAGACCGATCAGATACCGTAAAAATTAACAAGGGATTAAAAAAATTACACAAGGTGATGACTATGTTGATGAATCATGATCTAAGTTTCGAGCTTAGAGTTAAGTCGTCTCAGCCACACCGAGTGAAGAATCATGTGAATTAGGTCAAATGGCTCAGAAGGCCGATTAAGCACAAAATGCCTCTTAACTTGGGAAACTCTCTTCTGCATTTTCAGATAATTTTCATACGGAATTGCTCTTAAGATGGTCTTAATATCTGGTATCTTGGCAACCGGAATTTGTACTGAAAATTGGCTCCAATCAAGGGCATCACTGAAAGGCAATGTATAATTGTCAGAAATTAAAACAGGCACACATCCTGCATGAATTGCCTCCACAGCTCTTGGACTTGCCACTTCATACCCACTAGGGCACAAGCAATACTTGCTCTGACCCATTAGTTTTGTGTAGTTTTGGTCCTGGAGGAGCTTCTCATGGACTTGAACTTCATCATCTTTGCCCTTCCAATAATCCAGCAAGATGGGTCGAATTGGTCCGTGGACTCTGCCGGCAAAGAATGCTAAAATCCGGCGGTTGTTTGGGGCCTGACCTAAATCTGGTGGTCCAAGCTCTCGAGGGGGTACATAAACTTCAGGTAGTGAGACATCTATTTTGGGTCGAAATCCTTCCGAAGTATTGGCATTGCAAAGAACCCTAATAAAGTTTTTGAAGAGTTTAGGTTGGCCTGCTGAAATCTCCGGTGCCTAAAATATGGTAAATTATTAGTTGACGTGATGTATACACACACAATTTATCATTTATCGAAATGTGATACCAACATGTAGGGTTCAGTAAAGCATTACCCAATCGTGACATGATGCCATGAAATGATCAGCGCCGTTGCTTCGATTCCAATACCGATACTTATTTGCAACGATGCCAATGTAGTCGATGACTACCCGCTGCAAGCGATCACGACGGTAGTCTTGTTTTCCGGTGATAGGTAAGTAAACATATTCGATAATGTTGGCAACACTGAAGGGAAGGAAGAATGTGTGAGCCTCATCAGGATGCGTAGCCCTGAAGGGGTTATCCATCCTCTCCATTTCATCTATGAAGTGTCCTTCAATGCCGTAAATGTTTTTCATTGGACCAATGTGTAGTAATGGTAGCTCTCCTTCCTTGTATGTCCACACCTTGAACCTCTTCCTCATCTCTATGTGACTCCTGATGATTAGCATCACAATTATTATGATAAAATTATCTTGATCGTGAAATGATGAAATTGGTTACTTTTTCTAACATGATAAAAAATTGTGTAATGTTTTGAGAAGAAAATAATAGTAAGTAGTGGTTAATTAGCAATATATACTCAACTGGTGAAAAGCATAAGGGTTTTTGTAAACGCTTCCTCTTGGGATAAAAGTCTCTTCTCTCTCTGAACTATAGTTCCTAGACTGAATTGCTTTGCGGATTGCTGCACGTGCTTCAGATAAATCTTCTTCGATTCTCTCCACACTAGTCTTATTCTAATCATAGAACACAAAAAAGTTGTATAATTAGTCAAGACAAGTTAAGTTACCAAATACGTAATTATAACAAAGCTTAATTTTGGTTCCATGCACTAACCTTGTGCGTACTAATCCTTCGATTCATGGAATTTTCCAGAATCCCATCGAAAGAAACGTGTGGTAGGGCTGTGTAGTAGTTCTTTTTACGATTGAAAGACATAGCTAAAGAGGAAATCAAGGGATCATTATTGAGATGGTTTTCAGGGAAAGGTGATAAGGTTAGGTGGAAGAAGAGAAGAAACAAGAACGTTACTAACAAAAAAATTACTGTGGGAGATCGGAAGGCGCCTCCGGTAGGTGTAGTAGTAGTAGTTGTCGTCGTCATATGGTAGTGATTGATTTTTCTAGGTCCATTGATTAACATATATACGTACGTAAGCGTACAATCTTTCACTTTCTTTGTCATTAATTTTCTGTTAAACATAGATTGCATTAAGCCGGAGGAACAAGGAAAAAGACGGTAAAAACAAAGCCAAAGACGGCCCCTGAGGCTAGCTAATAAAGGAGAAACAGATCGAGGCTTAGGAGGTGAAACCAACCCATGCACGAAGAAGAAAACAACAAAATAAAACAAGGGTTTTGATAGAGAAATGTATCCAACATAGGTATATCTACAAGAACAAATCTCTGTAGTTAATTCATTATAGTATATCTAGCTAGTTCATTTTCTATTTAATCACTTTCTAATACATGAGGATTCTACATATTGTATTTGATCACTTTCTAATACATGAGGATTCAACATATTGTATTTAATCACTTTCTTATACTTCAGGATTCTACATACAATGATATGACTCACTTTTATAATTAGAAATGTGTCAACAAGTGTATCAATTTTGTGCGTCAAAATAAAATTACTGTTTGGTAACTTTAAGTACCACATTAATTAATTACTATGTATTGGAATAATAGGGTCATGTTTTGAGTACCACATTAATTAACTAATATGTATTGGAATAATAGGATCATGTTTTGACTTTAAAAAATATTCTTGGGTTTTTGCATGACTGGGTACATGTTGATCATCATCGACCTTCTAGTATAAACTATAGAGTATCGACTTTGGAACTGATTGACTAAACTTGATCCCAAGAGGTATATATATTGAGAACTTAACAAGCTAGCTAGTCCAACTCATTTGTTTATCAATTTTTGGGGTTTAATTTGTAAAGGCTATAATCCCAATAAGGGATATATAAGTGAATACCTTTGGATCACCAATTTATTGTCGAGACTGCTGCCTTTTGATTGAATTGAAAGTAATGTTCTGTTTAAAGGTGACTCTCCAACTAGATCGATAATCCCGATACAGATATAAAATCTAATGGTATCATGGAACTATGTATATATATGTTCAAATGCAGGATTTATTTATTTTTATTGAGTTTATATGTAGGACTTTTTTTTAATAAGAAAATAAGATAATAGATAGTGTGATCGCGATCACACCCAATTCAAATAAGAAGGCTTTTTCTGGCCACAAAAGGCAAAGCCTTATCCCAAACATGGAAATTATTAAAATTCAAAGTGCTAATGACTGCATTCGTCAAGATATTCGCCTCCGTGTATACATAGTTCCATGAAATGACTTCAAAAGCAGTCGCTAACCACATTATGTCTTCAATGATGTTCCTCAGCCGCCAAGGGGTAGAGCAGATTCCTTTACTTGCATCGATAACTAGTTTAGAATCACCTTCACGCAAGCTTTCTTGAATCCCTTTCCTTTACCCAACCAAAAGCATCCCTCAAAGCTAAAGCCTCGGCTACAAAAATGCTATTCTCTCCCAGGCTTCTTGCTCCAGCGACAAAAGGCAAACCATCTTCATTTCTGATCACAAAGTCGGCCGCGGCCTTGGAGTTGATAACAGAACCATCAAAGTTGATTTTCAGCAGCCCTCTTTGAGGAGGTTCGCATCTAATTTTCAGATTTTATTTTCTAGCCAACTTAACTCCATTGTTAGGTTTGCCAGCAGAATAAAAAGGCTTTACTAAGGCTAGAAAGTTTCTCTTTACCTGAATCATCAAGCTCATGTAACCATTCCAACAATCCCAAACGATTGTTATCATTTACAGGTGATATATCCGGGATTGTAGCCCAAACATGTCTTGCAAATTTGCAGTTGATAAACAAGTGATCTTGATCTCCATTATCTGTGGTACATAAAGGACAGTTAGGACAAATTGAATTAATGTGTTTGTTTAACCTTGCCCGAGTTTGCAACCAAGTGTTAGTACCTTCCACATTCTTGATAACAGTTGATGTCTAGTATTGGTACCTTTGATACTTTTTTGAATCTAAGTAGCTGACTTTACAAAGAAATTATCATTAGCATTCAGGCCCCAACAAAAGGAACCATTACCTCATTTAAGGGCAAAGAGATACTACAAATTTGGTTAACAATATCATCAACAAGCTGTAAAAGTGAGACTTTTAGGATTCAGGGAAAAAATGGTTTTGACTTTTTGTACAACTTTTTAAGTATAAGGTACTTAGTTGATGAGTGGTCTGGGTTTAACAGTTTAAGTGGCAAATGTGGCATATATAACAAGACCTGTAACAAATTAGGGATAAAAGAACGAGTAAATTCTACGTTTGTTGATGTCAATATACTAATTTATTTGCATGGATGGTCAAACCTCGGTTAATAACATTAAAGAAAGTTGAGGTTTCTATCAAAATATAATGTTATGCTATCTTTTTTAACTTTTTGATATAAACCAACTCCAGGTCCTCACAATTAGCATCAAAACTTATATATTAGCACCCACACTCCACGTCCTCACAATTATGTATTCATCACTTATCCTATATTTGGACGAGAGATTTTAAAATTTTATGAAATTTTTATATCAATTGTTGAAAATGAACTATTCAAGCACAATCCTAAAAATGCACTACAAACATACTAAACAAAGAACTTTCGGAAGAAACTTCCATCAGATTTATAATGAGTTTAGTTATTTTAAGACATATAGCCTAAGTTTTATAGAAATTGAAATTCGCTCATGCAAACACACCACAGTAGGGTCTTCTAAATAATTTGTGTCTTGACTCTAAATAAATAGAGGTGGCTTGACCATTTGTGTGACCACTCTTCTCGACCCCAATTTGATTCCATCTCCAATGCTTGAATTCCTTCTTTATTAGAAATATCGTAAGGATGGCATAGTCGGGCATGATCAGAAGGAGAACATGGATTTATATGTTCTAATTTCATGCAAAGAGTGTGATTATTCGTGTTTCAATTTCTCAGTACAGTTTCTACTTTCATGGATGAGAAACTGAGAATCTTGTTAATTCATAACTGAATCTAATTCTAGCCTAATCAACATATGATCATTCAGTGTAATTGTTTAAATCACAGAACAAAATTTTCAACTTTTCGTTTTCCTGGAATTCTTCTAAGTAAAAAACACAATGCATGACAACCTCTGCTTCTCCTCTAAGCTGGCTATCAACAAATCAATAATTTTCCCCTACCCCATCAATACAAATCAAGAGGCTCAACCCTCAACCTACTGCAACCCATAAAAAGAAAGCTAAGTTCCTTCTTGCTGGTATGTGACGTAGTATTTAGATTTTAATTGTTGTCACATCCAAAGCTATTTCGCCAGTCTAGCAGTACAAGGATGGCACCATAATGCGCCAACGCACCCAAAACCACCAAAACATGAAAAATCTGATGGCTGTGCCCTGCCAAATCAAACCACCCCGGCCTCCATCTCTCCGGAATTCGAGTGACATAAAATCCGGTCCCCGTCAAATAGAAAAACGCCATGGCAGCTTCATACAATAGAGTGAGGTTGCGCTTTGGATTGCCCCAGTTTACAACGCTGGCATGGATGGCAGGGATGATACCAAACAACCCCATTGAAGCAAACAACAAGGCGCGAAATGTGCGAAATTCGCTGCTTGAGAGCTTAGGCGAGAGCAATGTCACGATAGTGAAAATGCCCATGACCGTTATGCCGCCGAGGTAGATGAACTGCCAGCGCGAGTCGCATTGGAAGATGTAGTAGATGGGAGGGAAGAAAGAGGTGATGATCATGGTGGTGATGCCGGCGTAGTCTATGCGGAGGAGCATGAGGTTTAATGGGTGTGAGTGACATGAAAAGAGGTGGCAAATGGTGCTTGAGAGGAGGCAGAACATAGAGCCGGCGAGGAACACATAAAATGGCCAATATATCACGCCCATTTCAGCTGATGGTGCTGATGATGCAAATTCCATATCCTGAGATGTCATTTGCTTCAAATTGATAAGATTTGTTGTCATCCCCTGTTAAATTTATATGTTGATTAATTTTCGAAATCATATATCAAGGAGATGTTGTGATCACAAGAAGTGGCGATCTTATTTGAATACTATAATAATACTATAGCATTAGGAACTTCATTAGAAATTAAAGTCAATTACCGAAATGAAATTACGGGAGACATTTTTGACTCCGCTAATAGGCGTGGACCTGTATCATACAATACAAATTAAATGAGAACGGGAGAACTAACTTGCATGATTAAGAGCTCGTTTTAAGTGTTTTTTTTAGAATTCAATTACATTTTCCCTAATGATTTGATTCCAAAAAAAATTTCTACCATAAGCGCTTTTAGCCATTTTAAAAGCACTTCCAGAACGAGCTCTAAGAGTTTAGTTTCCTAGCTGCTCAAGTACTTAATTATCACTTAAAATATTATACATCATTGTGTACTATACATCACATTTGTGATTGGCCAAAACGCTTATACTATATAAAATACATTGATGTATAGTATACATTATCTCTTACTTAAACAATCTAGATTCTTCAGCTGTTAAATTCTCTGAAAATTTTAAGAGCAAACCCAACAATTATATATAGATTTAGCAATTTATATTATGCATTGATGGGATGTACTCTAAAATCATAGGGTTTTTGAAGTCTTAAGACTAAATGTATGGAATAATTATTTATATGTATGGTTGCAATTATTTATTAAAAATGAAGCTAGTAAATTATTTTTAACAGAAAGAGAGATTTTCTAATAATTTTAGGGAATTGTTATTGGCACTCCAAAAAACTCATTCTACACTCTAAACTTTCTATATTTGGAAAGAAAAATACATTTGTGAGGAGTGTAGAATGAAATTTTTGGAGTGCCAATAACATTTCCCTAATTTTATCCAAAAGCATTTATCATATGCTCAAAGTCAGAGATTCTATGTTTGATTCCTTATTTTCCAACCATTGCTTGTATAAAAAAAAAAAAATTATTCACAAAAAGATAAAATTCAAATTAGTGTTGCCAAGTTTCTAATTTCATGATCAGTCATTGTCCTTTTGTGATTCTAATTTTAAATTAGTGATATCAGATACAAATAGAAAAAAATTCAAAGTTGCCAAAAACAGAATTAGAAAGAGTAAAAGAAAGAAAATCCCCAACCAACCTGGCAAAAAAGCCAAGGAGATCCGCTACCTGAGGCACTTCCAACAAATTCGCCATAGTCAAACCCAGAAACAGAACAAACCCGATCAAATGCCTGTAATTAATTAAAAAATAAATAAAAAAAATTCAGAGAAAATACAAAAATTATTGAAACCATTAAATTCTGAAGGAATTAAACAAGAAAACCCTTCAACTAAAATTCTTTTTTTTTAATTTTTTTTAAAGAAGTACGATATTCATTAAAAATGAGAACACATACAAAGTAAAAGGAAAGTGTGCATAAAAGGGCCTTGATGAAAAAACCTTGCCTGAGAATCAGCAAGCATATCAGAAGGGTTCTCAACCCTTCAACTAAAATCTAAATTTAACAAATAACATTGAAATTCGAATAATTAATGAAGAAATTAACCAAGAAAAATAAACAAATTTGGATTGAAAATTGATCATAACATAATTAAAAAAAACGTACGTCCAAACGTTAAGGGTTTCGTTATGCCACCGGAAAACGCTAAACAAAGCTTCCGGGAGAGACCAATCGGCCCGGTAGTAATTGAGTATGAACTCATTGTCCTTCATGTACTCCGGCAACTCCCAATACGACATCAACCCGTACTGCTTCGGGTTTGCCTTGTTTTGCTTCTTCTTTTTCTTCCTTCTCCTCTTGTTCTTAATATTGTCTACAGAAGAAATGTTACGGATTAGGGTTTGTTGATTCTTCATTTCGTCTTCTACTTGTTTCGCAGAAGCGGGAGTTGTTTGTTTTGATGAATATCTCATCCTGGCAAGAGCTCCTCCTTCCTTGGGACTCATTGTCGCCGGACAAAATAATCACAAGGAGGTTGTGGAGGGAGGAGGGCTTTCGCATCAGAGAGAGAGAGAGACAGACGAATTTGGATTTGTAGGTTTACAAAATTTATATGGAGAGGGACGGGGTTATGGTTTTGAAGATCCGGAGGATTGGATGGGATAACGGGGATGCCTATTTAGTACAGTTGGAGGTTGCTCAACTGAACCAACCAACCGCCAGCTTATACAATTTAATTTTTAATGTTTGGATTACACGAAACTAAAAAAGATGAAATGCATGGATTGACAAAGACATTTTTGCAAGTCTGGGAAATATAAGCACTTGATGTATTATTTCACGTGTTATAATAAACATGGATAAGATAATTTACGTTTATAATTTGAGTCAAATAATAACGTCATGTGACAGTATTTTGAATATATATATTATATATATATATATATATATATGGAAGAATTGTTTGCATGGATAATGGTGGCGTGGGGCGAGCAGCTAGCTTGGCAATGTAGGCATGGTTGGTTGGTTCAGTAATCCATACCCAAATTATTAAAGAACGCATGACGTCTTTTCATTACGTTCACACCAAAACAAAACTGATCAACCAATTGACATGAAAACCCACTTTTAATTTGTTTAATTCTCATTCTCACGTTCCTAATCAGTATATTAATTAAAAAAATTAACATATATACATAATACATGTATAATATAAGAGATTTTTCAGTGTAACCGGTATACTTGATTGTACACTACGTGTCATTATACAAAGAGTGAGATATGTGTGTTAAAAAGTTAATAACTTAAAAAATAAAATTTCTCATCACTTATACGAAAACACGTAGTGTACATTCATATTTCGGTCGCAACGAAAAATTTCTCATATAATATATCTTATGGCTCGTGGATCGATGCAATGGTGTCACCCATTTGTATGACAAAATTTGCCTCGTTGCTTCCTGATCGTGGATGATCAAGGATGAGTTCCGATGCATGGTAATTTCATTTTTTTTTTTTTGGAAACTGGTAATTTCATCTTACATACAAACCTAACGACTTGTTTTTAGTGAAAAATAAGGGTATGTTCATTAACGCTTTGTAAAACAATTTTTTGTTTTCTAAATAAAAAACGGGTGAAAAATATGTTCAGTAGATTGATTTGTGAAAGTATACGTGAAATCGAAAAGCGTAGGAAATAATATTCAGCATAAGTTCTTTAGATGTTTCCGTTGCTTTTCAAAAATAGTTTTCAAAATAACAAAAAAATAAAAGGTATATTATAAAACAAGTTACAGTTTGATTATAAAAAAAATCATGTTTGTCATCACTACCATCACTAATGCCACCATCACCATCTTTGACATTTTGTTCCAAAACGTATTTTAAACGTTTTTATTCTTAAACTAAATTGTTAGACAAATTCTCAAATATAAAAATGCAAATTCTATTTGTTGTTTTCGTTTTACAAACGAATGGACGAACCCTAAAGAGTTTCCAACCTCGAACTTTTTATCTTATTCCTACCCATTATCCTACACGCCATCAATACTGCGCCTTCTTACCAACCTAACTATTAACTTGCAAGCATACTTTTCATTTGGTTTTTGGTCAAGATCGAAGACGATAAATTGATTTCGATTTATTAACTATGGCTGCACGTCAATATTTCAAATATTTCATCATAATTACGAAGAAATAAAACAGCCATGAGATAATGTTGGTTAACAACTTCCCATATAACATAATTTGGTTTTTCCTTTCGTAATGTTTTTTGTTCAAACTAGTTGGGGAGAAATCTAATATATTCAATCTCGACCGGGAAGAAGCTGTACATTAGATATTCAGTGGCATAGCCAGAAATTCATGCCAGGAGGAGCCTTTAAACTAATGAAAGAAATTAGAAAAAAAATTAGTAATATCATGGAAAATTTGAATCAAACAAGAGTGATGGAGCTTTAAAATTTGTATGAAAAAATTAGTATTGAGAGATATCATAGTAAATAGAACCTGTGTTGACATCTAACGCAACATTGATAATAGCGTTATAACTAGCTCAAACTATTATTACGATATTTTTCTTTTAATATTATTGAATCTTCCTCTCGAATATATATACCTCGTTTTATATGAACTAACAAAAAAATAAGTTATTATTACGATACTTTTTTTTTAATATCATTCAATCTTTCTCCTGAATATATATATACCTTGTTTTACATGAACTAACAAAAAAATAATTGGTTTAAAAGAAATCAGAATGTTAGCAGAAGGGTAGTTATATATGGTAATTGGTAAAAAAAAATACCAAAAAGTAGCTTTCCATCAGCAGGCGTTGACCCCAGACCTAATGAAACCTTTAAAACCTGACATACCAACACACCACATGCACATGATTACAAAAATTACTACATAATCGATATAAATTTATTTCCAGGATGGGCCCTGGACTACCCTAGTCTCCATGTGGCTCTGCCACTGTAGATATTACGTTTCATAAAATCAATATCTTCTTCGAATCTCGTAATCCGAAGTCAACGGGCCAAAAAAACCGGACAACTCATTCTAAATCTTACAATCCCATTAGTACATCACACTGGCATATCTCACACAAACCAAAGATACAAATCTCTCTCTCCCTCTTTTAAATGATTCGAATTTCTCGATTTATCAATTCCGAACTGCGAGATCCGAATAAGATCTGAATTCGTTTTGATAAATACATTGTGACCCTACGGACACGTGCTCTTCCATGGAAGTTTAACAATGGCACGTCTACAAGTGTACTCGAGGAGGAGACCCACACTTTTGCAAATATTAACACGAGATCAATTTACAAAAAACGGATTTACTGGGACACCAAGAAAAAGATTTGGAACACCATAAAACAGGTTCAAAACGATTTTGACATCCCAATCCAATAATGCAATTTTTCTTCACATAGCAATGCATATTAATGGATTGAACGCCACAAGACGATGAACAAGACCTTGTTCCAAGTAAATCTTCTCCACAAACAAATATTGATCCAAATCCACATCTTTCATAATCTACTCTTGGAGAGAGGAATCAATGATACGAAAACACCAAAATTGTGACATCTCATGTCAACACTATAATGTTAATATGTGACCGCACGCCACTATGACGGTGTACATGTCCATGAAAATTGCTCTCCTGGTTTTGAGTCATGGCATCAACAGCTAAGTAAAGGCAAGCTACGGATAAACATAAGAAATCGCGCAGAGAGATCGTCCTCTTCCAAATCTCCACATATATTGACTATTTTTATTTCTTAACTAAAAATATAGCCAGAAAATAACAAAAGGTTTAAATTTGATGAAAATACAAGTATTGAGCTTTATGTAATCCCCCGGCAAACGAATTTTCGGGGAGGGGCGGCAAAAGGTTCAAGATATAGAAAAAAAAAACTGCTCATGGGGAAGGCTTTACAAATAATGCACACTTCTAGTTCTTGAGAACTCCTAGTTTCTCCAAGGAAGCACGGATATCGTCGCTCCCGCAACCTTCACTGGTCTGAACTATGTTGGGGGTGTCGAGTGCCAGGACATCGGATAGAGGGTAGTTGCGGTTATTGTGGAGTTGACTGATTGCATTGCTGCCAACTCCCTTGAGTACTACACTTTGGTGCAGTCCACCGAGCAATCCTTCGTAGTCCGTGTCCCCGCACTCTCCAGCGAGAACCACCACTTTCGATAAGTCTACCCCCCATCGGAGATATAAATACCTGAAGCAAATGCTTGTTTCAGTGATCAAAGATTCAAAGCAATTCCAAAGCAGTTTTACAATTTTACTAAACCAACAATCGTTTGGATTTGTCGACAACAGGACATTAGCATTCACTTTATTACTTTTGAGTGGTACCTGTAATTAGATTCTACCAGACTGTTACCGTGGACGTGATGAGTTCATTCTGGTCCGATAAACCATAAAGCGAAAATTCACTATAAATTAAGTCAATAGTGCAGATAAGTAATGCATAAATACTGTACCTGAGGGCTTGAGAACGAGAGGCCAATACTGGAATTACGTTCACTCTGGTCCCGTTTTGGCAGTAAATTACATGGCATCGTAAAGCCTGAATCCTCAGCACCTTCCGAAGCTCCTTTACCGGGGGTAACTGCAAAGATAAAATAAAAGAATTTCCGATGATGTACATCCAATGTACTACACTATAAAATATTACATGCTTCAATAAAAACTCTTAAGGGCAATTTTTATCATTAATTGAAGTTGCCCAGCGTATCAACGTACCAATGATTTTCTCATTAATTTAAGAATTCATACCAAACTGATCCAGAATCAAAATTGATGAACACTTACCTTTCCTGGTGCCTGCACTTTAAAAGCATAACAATAGTCAGTTGAAAGTTGATCAGCTGCAGAAACAATTGCCTCACTCCCAGTCTTCTTATCATTAACTGAAGTTGCCCAGCGTAACAATGTCTTCCTCAATCCTTCTCCACCCCAACGGTATTCAATGTGTGAATGGTAATAAAAGTCGACCGCAAAGGGGCGATCCTCAGAATTAATAGATGGATAGTAGAGGTCACTGCCACTGTTACAAATATATGCATCAAAATCTTTAGGGTTCAAGCCCCCGAAAACCAGAAATGAACGTATCTCGATTATGGTCAAGGATGTTGACAATATGAATCCTACAGAGCCTTCATCCTTTTCCTTTCCCATAGCCTCAAAAATATTTTTTGTAATTTCATTAAGTTCTGTAACGGTTTCACAATCCACAGAAATGACGATAAGATGTTTCCTCCTCCTCAAAACTGGGAACTTTCCAGCATTGTTATGGTCTGCTTTCTCAGAGATCCCAGCCTTCCGCGTGTCCCTTGAAATACCCCTTGACCATGCCAAAACAGCACTCTCTATTTTACTTCTTCTGTCAGCAGTATTTCCTTCCGAATCTAAACTATCATTTACACTAGTTCCGCTCTTTTCTACATCCATTGAAAACTTCAAGTTCAAAGATAAATCCTGTATATCTCTCAAGGAATCACTAGGGGATTCTGATTCTGAAGTGTCTCCTCCATCCTCACTTCTATGCCACTGTGGTTGCCTCTGTTTGCAACTGGCTATTCGGGATAGATAAGTTTT